GTAGTCATAGGCAGAAGACAAAAAAGGGAATCTTGAGTATAACCCTTAAACAGGGACAGCGAGTCCACAGCACGGATGGTTCGGGGAAGAGAGTTCACGAATATGAGGAGAGCAACAGAGCAGAAGGAGCAACCTCCCCAAAGAGCCGAGATTGAAACTCGGCGTTTTGACAGAAGCTCGGCTTCACAGCTTAAAACATAAAACTCCGAATTTACCAATTGATGCGTTTCACGGCATTTATGTAAACATCTATTTTTAAAAGTCTTCGCGAGGACATCTGCAAGTATCAACCTTTGCAAAGTTTGCCAACTCCACGCCAGGATATATGCGGAGTCGTCTGTGACTGTTTCCTTGACCAGTTTCAGCTGGGCTGTGCTGGGTGCTGACTCTGCCGGCCCAGGAATAAATAGCAGAGCTCACAACTCCCCAACGAGCACCCCGCTATTTTAGTGGGCGCTTCATCATCTCTCTTTTCGACGCACCCTGCCCCCCAATCTCTCACAAACAGCTCCCAGTCTCTCTCTCTCTCTCTCGCTGTCCGTACAACCCCCCCCCCCCGACCCACAGCTCTCTCTCTCTCCATAATTCACAGTTCATTGTGGCCACACGCACGTTGAGGGGATGATGAACATGCTGATATGAATTGTGAATGTTGATAATAGTGCATGGCGGCGCGTAGCATTTTGAGGGACTAGGTTTGGTCCCTGGCGACATGCGGTCTGTCTTCGAGGTCGGACAGCAGGTGGATTCGTGTGGGCCATCACTGGAAGGTGGTGAATGTGAGTATTGAAGGGCAATACTCACTCACATTCGCCCTTGGAAACTGATTATGCTGCAAAAACCAGGTGAGATTCAAGAGGTCAGGATGATTCTCATTTGCGAAAATAATCTGGGTCATTAGTGTGTCAGTAGGGGGTGATGATTGCGGCTTTGTGGTCTAACCTAGGGGCACTCCCAGTGGCAGCTGTCCCTGTGCACTAGTCTGCCAAATGAGGGGCTGATGTAACTGTGTATCATGCCCAATTGAGTAATGTGCGGTGCGATTTTCTCGTTTTGAAAATGTGGACCCTGACGCCGACACGCAATGGCCTACTTTTGCGAATGAAGTCGAGGGATCTGGAACGTTGACTGGGAAGCAGATGGCGAGGTGTATTAACAGGGTTATTACACCGGCGGTGTAATAACCCGGTAATAACCAGGGTGGCCGCTGGTATTGAACCGTGAGCCTCTGCATCGGACCATCTGACCGGGCCAATGTGACCACGTACAGCGGGATGGGTCATGAGGATGTCGAACCATGTGACGAGGCTACAGGTTAAACTATGTTTAGTTACCAGGTACGGCCCACTGAGCTATGTAGCTCTTTTTCGATAATGACATCTCAACGAAGTGGCTTATCACGTGGAAATTAATAGCAGCCAAATACTCTAAACGCGTGGTGATGTTGATTCTAAATGTGGAGTGAAACACCGGAGGACCCGGCGAAAAATCCACGCGACCACGAGGAGAGAGAGAGACTCCAAACTACACTACAGGCGACGGTATCCGCCACACTGATCCTGGCCAGCCTCGCGACGAGAGAGACGACCGATAATTGTGTACACGAGGCGTCGCTGAGGCTTTCACGACAGTGCCACAGTTGCCTACGCGTGTTGCCGTCTCGCTGTCGATGCCTGCCGCCGTACACATTGCGGCATTCACATGTTGGCGAGTTCCGCTTTGGTTTTTTTTCAGTTATTGCAGATAAAATAAATGCGATTATAAAGGTCTTCTTTTAAAACGTGTTCGGGGTTAACCTACAATTGATATGTTAAAAGAAAAAGCACAACATTAAATACTCGTTCATTAACTGGTCAACCATAGTAGTGCAGCACCTTCCTATAGAATGTGGGACCCAGCGAGACTCTTTCCTGCGTACAAGTCACCCTCACTCTGTAAACAACGCGAGAGCGAATAACGCGGCGATCGAGTTTGCGTTGGATACTTTCCTTGGCATTGGCTTCAGTGGTCACGACCCTCGCTTTGATTTTACGAGACACAATCCTAGCCCTGGCCTCGTGGCTTCTGCTCTGCAGTTTATATATATAGATATAAAACACCTACTCATCGTGGTGATAAATCGGTCAAAGCATCAACACGAACATATCAATCTAGTTAACTGGCATGTCAGCTGCAAGGGACATCGTAAATCGCCTTACCCAACATAAAACGTATAAATCGCAGGTGCAGCAAACTGTGATAAGTTTCCACTTACGTGGGTGTAAAATAACCAAAGCAATTCCGTGATAGTTTTACAGGACTCCATACTCTTTGATTCTTTCGTTAAAGTCATGTAGATAGAAAATTATTAATAGATCACGACGTTACGATCGCAACACAAGCGACCGTCTTCAGGTGCGATCGAAACGTCGTGATATATTAATAATTTTCTAACTACGTGACTTTACCGAAAGAACCAAAGAGAATGGATTCCTGCAGTCACGAAAGCTTCAAATCAAGATTTTACACGACTCGTTTGGAAGTGAACGCCACCGATGTTCCATGCCAATGATTTTCCGTACGAATTCGTCTTAAAATGAAACGTCGTTTTATTCTCAAGGAAAACCTAACACAATAAATTAACTCAACAATCACAGAAACACGCATTTGTTAAGGAGCACAGCACGAGGGACGATGCTGAGACGTGCCCAGCGCCCGGTCACTGGAGACCAGAGGGCCAGGCCACGTGCGGCCTGGCTGTGACCGGCGTGCAGAGGGGCACGGTCGAGGAGGGGACGGGGTGGGGGGTCAGAGACGAGAAAAGCCACTGCCATGGGGTCGTCAGGTCTGCCCGTAACGCCACGGTGCGTTTGTGATTCGATTTGACAAACGGTACGGCAAGGCTCCTCGCGATCGAGGAGTACATACACGCGAGGCCGCTCGTGGTTGTGGGTAGCTGTAAAAATTAGAAAGTACAACTCCAGTACAACACAGCGTAGCATCGGGAACGGGGTGCAAACGCAATGTCAAATGCCTTTCTAAAACTATTTTTGGCCACTTGCTCGTCACATTAATCAGCGAATGGTATGGGAAATGTTCGGAGAAACCTGACGTTCGGGAAGCATCGAAAGCAAGGTTCGACCATTGAAATGGTAGAAGAACAGCGAATGCGGGTACCGGGGCAGATAGCCAGCCGAGGAGCTCGCTTCACTCACCTCGGCGCCGGGGTTTTCGTGTCAACCAAATGCACATACATTGTGTGGGAAATCACTGTGGGACGGACAATGGCTTTCAAAAATTATTTCAATTGTCTGACACCACAATGTGCACAACGCCAATCCAAATCCCGAATGTTTAAATTGTACCCAAAAACGAGATCACATGCGTCCATACATAGCCATGGCCAGGGCTTAATATCTGCTGGAGTTGTCCTGGAGTCGATAGGAGCAAGTTCAAGAAATATTCCATCATTAAACTCTACATTAAATATTCCATTGAAATGGTAGAAGAACATTGAAATGGTAGAAGAACAGCGAATGCGGGTACCGGGGCAGATAGCCAGCCGAGGAGCTCGCTTCACTCACCTCGGCGCCGGGGTTTTCGTGTCAACCAAATGCACATACATTGTGTGGGAAATCACTGTGGGACGGACAATGGCTTTCAAAAATTATTTCAATTGTCTGACACCACAATGTGCACAACGCCAATCCAAATCCCGAATGTTTAAATTGTACCCAAAAACGAGATCACATGCGTCCATACATAGCCATGGCCAGGGCTTAATATCTGCTGGAGTTGTCCTGGAGTCGATAGGAGCAAGTTCAAGAAAATATTCCATCATTAAACTCTACATTAAATATTCCATAAGAAATGTAGCCATACTGGATTAAGCTCGGGCCGCAGAGAGAGGTGAGACCACTTATCTTTGTATAAGATCTCCTTTGTAAAAGAGATAATTTCACCGGGTTAAAGGCATCACCTTTATACAGAATGGATATAAAACGTGAATTGGTTTAAGAAGCTGTTCAAAGCAGACAATATATTATTACTTCAGAAGTTAACATGCCCAGGCATATACCATTTACTCATCCGTTCAAGTTAGATAATTAACTTAAATTAGCATTGCTTCAGTTATCAGAACTATCCTGGTCCTTGTGCATGGCAACAGGCCACCTGTTTCACAAAATCTCCACCATGAAAGCGTACATGTAAACCATCCACCACCCCCAAAATCGCCCCCTCGTACCAACATTCCAGATTCCAGTTTTCCTGCTGGGACAGAGGCATTAATCAATATGGTGGGGGGCCAAATGTGTAATGTATGTGCAGGTCACAACCACAGAGCCACACCGAGTCGTGGGCCATGGGCGAATGTACCATCTCATGGACAAGTACCGGTTGCCTTCCGTTGTGGTCCACAGTCCAGATGGACGAAAACACTTTACAGAGATGGACAATGGAGTGGCGACTATATGATGTATGTATGCGTGCTAAACTTCTTTCGCACCGTACGTAGCCAACCGTGCTAATCGGAGGTGCTTAGAGTTTGGCAACTCGATGTGCAATGGCTACCGGGGTTTGGCAGAAGTGACGGTGAGGTGTGGTAACGTCAATAGGCAATGGCTGTGGTGACCGTGTTGCTCTTGTGCTGATGCTGGCGGTGGTGGTGACGACAAGGGACATGAAGGGGGCATGGCTGGAGGTTCTCGCATGGGCATTGCTCTCACAATTGCCTGCAGCTCAAGCACAGGGCACGAGGTTTGAACATCGCTTGCGTCATTTCACATTGTGATGAATAAAAGTGAGAAAATTTGAAAAAACAAACTTGTTAAAACGATTAATTAAGTCTGCACGGCAGTATTAACTGACAAAAGGAAAAGTTTGGTGTCATTTTAGAAAACTCAAAGCACAACTCCAAAAAGATTCTAAAACTGAAACACATTTTCATAACAAAAAGATAAAACAATATATCAGGTAGTTGTTTTTTTTTAGTATACAGAAGGAAGACGGGGGAGGATGGGCATAGGACTGCCAGAATACTTCAAGTCAGGCATTTTATTTATAATCGCATACCATTTCCCTAAATGTGTGCACAGCATTATTGCATACGCTATCAAAGAACTCCGCTTAGATGGACGAATGGAGGAGGACGTCACACGTGAAAAATATATGTGAATACGGGTAAATCCCAGAAACCCTACGGGCTGCGCTTGCCTGGTTCCTCATGGCAACGTCAGCGCCACGCCACATGGGGGGACATAATCATCCAGACGGGGGCAGTGCTGCCAAAACCTAGGACCTTGTTTGCTTTATTTTTTCACGACATATCCACGCAAATATAGACCGAGCAAAAGTGGCGTATTTTTTTATTGTTAATAATTCTCTCTTCTGCTTAGGTAAACAAGAGATGTGGGGTTAAATAAGCCTTTGTGCACAGTCACGATATCTCTGGGGGTTGTGCTAATCGTGGGGATGCACCACATCCCACCACACGACGCGGTGCAGGTGCAAATCCATTAAACCCGGGGAAATGCTGTACCATGCCATGGAATCTTCACCAGGGTCGCAATATTGTGAGTGCCGCTAATTTTTTGTTGTTGAAATCTATCAGCCATCTTATCTGCAAATCCTCCCTCTATAGACAAAGGGGCAGAATGGCGGGTCTACTAATGCCCTCACAAGCAAGACGATTTGCAGATAAGGGGGGACGGGGAGTTCTACCACGCAGGTACAATAACGGTGACGGAGCTGTGGATCCCCCCACCCATGCCCACCCCCAACGGCGCCCACGGGCGTCAGATGCTGAGCGGCACGGAAGACGCGGAGCTGGCGCGTGACTCGCGGAGGCCACGGCGGGGCATGAGCAGCGCGCAGCACGAGACGCCCACCACGGCGTCGCACAGCTCGTCCTCTTCCGCCCACTCGTTGTTCTCCGCGTCGAACACCTGGATGCACTTCTTGTACTTCTTCTCCCCCTCGTTCCAGCCGCCGCACACGTACAGCCTGTGGTTGAGCAGTGTCGCTCCCGCCGTGCTCACACCGATGGTCAGGGGGGCCATGTAGCTCCACTGGCTCGAAAACGGGTTGAACGCCTCCACCGTCAGCACGTCGACGCGCTCCCCGCGCGGGCCCAGCTGGCTGCCGCCGACCACGAACACGCGCTCGCCCAGAGACACCGAGCAGTGCCAGCCGCGCGGGGTGCTCAGGCTGGCGCGCTCCTGCCACCGGTCCGTTGAGGGGTCGTAGCCGCACACCGTGCGCGAGTACGCGTTGCTTATGTATCCGCCCGTGACGAGGATATTGCCGTCGGAGACCGCGCTGGCGTGGCAGCAGCGCGCCACATCCAGGGCGGCTTTGGGCTGCCACTGGTTGATGGCCGGCACGTAGGACTCGACGGCCAGCAGGGGGCCCTCCAGGTTGCGACCACCGATGGCGTAGAGCTGCCCGTTTAAGGCGCTAATGCTGAAGTGGGTTCGCCGTTGGCTCATGCTCGCGAGTTGAATCCAGTTGTTAAAACGAGGATCGTACCTGCGCAGGGAAACGGCAGTGATGATTTAATGTCAAAGACCGCACGATTGAAGCGCATCGTCATCACCATGCATGATGTCAGAGTTACGACTGATGTGCTGTGTAGCTCTTTTTTCAGATGTGGACCTCGCCACATATGATAGCTCAACAAAGTGGCTTATCATGTGGAAATTTATAGCAGCCAATTATTCTAGAACGCATGTTTATAAATGTGGGGAGAAAAAAACTGAGAAAAATGCAGGTGACCACGGGGAGAGGCACATCCAAACTCCAAATATACAGCAGGCATCAGGGTCGGAATCGAACCCACGACTATCCTGCATACCAGGCGAGGTAGTTAACATCTCCTAACCACTGTGGGAGTGTGTTACCTGCAGACGGTGCTCACGGCATGCTTGGCTTGGTTCCTTGCGTCATTCTGGTCCTCGCCTCCCGCCACGTAAAGGAACCCGTCCATGACCGCCACGCACTGGTTAAAGCTTTTGGCCACCATCTCCGTGAGCTTTCCCCAGCCCATCTCGGGGTCTCGGTACAGCACGTCTCTGTTCAGCGACGTCTCCGTGAGCGCCGAGCGCCCGCCGACCGTCACGAGCACCTTGAGGCCGCCACGCAGCTTGGTCCGCCGAGACTGCAGCGTGTTCTGTTGGTAGGGCAGCAGGTGGTAATTCATGGCGTCCACTAGCAGCTTGTGGCAGTCGTGGTCCTGCATCATTCTGGGCACCGTCTGCACGTACGTCACCAAATCGTGAGCTGAAATGGTACTGAAGCGAATGTTGCTGAGCAGATCTCCGGAAAACTTGAGGCGTTTATCATCGTGCTCGAGCCACTTGAGAGCTATGTGAAAAGCGGTGAGCTCCGAATTAATCTCGAGCGTGTCATCTTGGAGAAACTGGTTAATTTGATCGAAACTCAGCTTAAGGAATCCCTCCGTTTCTGAGAAATCGACAAAATTCTCTCTGAGAAACTTTTCGGCCATATCTTTGGTGTTGTGCAGGTCAAAAGCACGGGCGATGTTGGCCACGTGGAGGCAATTCTCCACGTTCAACTCCTTCATCAAATAGTCGCAGCACATCTTGAGCAGGGAAGAGACCTGCAGGCGGGTTGCCGAGGAGAGGACGCTGCCCACTGTGGCGAGGGACAGGCCGAGCCTGCCCGTGTAAGCGTACGTGACCACCCCAGCCAAGCCCACGGCGGATACATCGTTCACCTCAACCTTCTGAAGCATGGGGTCCTTGCGCAGCACACTCCTGATGTACTCGCTGCAGGATGCGACCACCACTTTGTGCACCTCGAACGACTTTGCCTTGGTGACCAGTGTGAAATCGCAGAGGAATTTTTCATTTTGCATAAACTTGAGCCCTTCCAGAAGCTTCTCGCTGTGCGCAGGATTGCCGACGTCGGAGACAGCCTTGGGTAGTCCGTTCCATTCGTCCAGGTGGTTATTCCAGATGTTGGCTTTGTTGATCTCCTTTTCGGCGAGCATTTGCATGATGGACATGTCGGTAACCTCATCCTTGTTTACCTTTTTGTTGCTCTTCTTTTTGGGTGCCATTGGATCTGCGCCCGAGACACCACCGTTCAAGGTTACGAGCCTGCTGCAAGCGGAGAGGGGAGCATTGGCGAGATCGCAGCGGTCAACATTAAATTCACCACGGGACAGTTTTCCAAAACATTGCCAGCCAGCCGTCGTAGCAGCCGATTCGGCTGCTGACAGAGAAGCTTCAAGTTTCCAAATTTATATCGCTTAACTCAAGTGAGAAATCAAGAGATGGGGGGGCGGAGGTAGTCAGTCGCACGTGCAGAGTGACCTGGGTAGATAAAACCATGAGATTTAAACTACATCAGACGCAAAGAGATACATGGAAACTAATCAACCCTCTTCCCAAAAACATCATAGTTCGCGGCAAAAATATAACACACTTTGTGATTCATCATACACCTGAAATTAAGCGCATTGTACGGGCTCTGGCTTTTACGCGGACGCACAAGGGCGAATGACATCAAATCTTTAAATAGGAGCAGGACGGCGAGCAGCCGGCACTGTAGGGCAGCGCCATCGCCTTGTAAGGCGGGCGACCCTACAAGGCGCAAGTGCCCCGCGCTATCAATACGCGCGCGCTGCGCTATGAATAGCGCTCGACAACAACGCCGATTACAGCGCTCAGCGCATTCCCGACCCGCGGCGACTCTCACTGCACGTGTCCTACAGCGTCGGGCAAGTGTCCCGCAAAGTCGGACAAGTGTCCCGCAGAGTCGAGTAAGTGTCCTACAGCGTCGGGCAAGTGTCCCGTAGAGTCGGGCAAGTGTCCCGTAGAGTCGGGCAAGTGTCCCGTAGAGTCGGGCAAGTGTCCTGCAGTGTCGGGCAAGTGTCCTACAGTGTCGGGCAAGTGTCCCACAGCGTCGGGCAAGTGTCCCGTAGCGTCGGGCAAGTGTCCCGCAGAGTCGGGCAAGTGTCCCGTAGTGTCGGGCAAGTGTCCCGCAGAGTCGGGCAAGTGTCCTACAGCGTCGGGCAAGTGTCCTACAGTGTCGGGCAAGTGTCCCGTAGAGCCTGGTAAGTGTCCCGTAGAGTCGGGCAAGTGTCCTACAGTGTCGGGCAAGTGTCCTACAGCGTTGGGCAAGTGTCCCACAGCGTCGGGCAAGTGTCCCGCAGGGTCGGGCAAGTGTCCCGTAGTGTCGGGCAAGTGTCCCGTAGAGTCGGGCAAGTGTCCCGCAGAGTCGGGCAAGTGTCCCGTAGAGTCGGGCAAGTGTCCCGTAGTGTCGGGCAAGTGTCCCGTAGAGCCTAGCAAGTGTCCCGCAGAGTCGGGCAAGTGTCCCGTAGTGTCGGGCAAGTGTCCCGTAGAGCCTGGCAAGTGTCCCGCAGAGTCGGGCAAGTGTCCCGTAGTGTCGGGCAAGTGTCCCGTAGAGCCTGGCAAGTGTCCCGTAGAGTCGGGCAAGTGTCCCGTAGTGTCGGGCAAGTGTCCCGTAGAGCCTGGCAAGTGTCCCGTAGAGTCGGGCAAGTGTCCCGTAGTGTCGGGCAAGTGTCCCGTAGAGCCTGGCAAGTGTCCCGTAGAGTCGGGCAAGTGTCCCGTAGTGTCGGGCAAGTGTCCCCGAGACCAGGGGGCCAAATCCCCTAGAGCTGGGCGCCTGGCGCCTGCGGGGTCACGGCTCGACACCCCGCTGGGATGCCGAGCCCTGCCCTCGCCTCCTCCTCCACCACCTCCTCCTCGCCCCCCTCCTCCTCCTCATCATCCTCCTCCTCATCCCCGTGACCTTGACCCCTGTGCGCTCTCTCTCGCCGCCCTTAGCGCCTCGACTCGGCCGACCTTGTCCGCAGGTTCCTGTCGAAGCGACTGCGCGAACGACGCATCCCGCCGGCCTGCTACAGTTAACGAGCTATTCCAATGTCTACCCGCCACTACTGGTCATCTGTGAGGGAACAAAAAGAGCTTCGCAGCTCATCGGATTCCTCCGGAGTGTAAATAAAGATTAAGCAGCCGCCAAGTGTCCGTTAGCTGGACATCCGTGTAAAAGAGCTTTACGGCTTGGTCGAATTCCTCCAGAGTCTCCAACAAGGGATTCCGATGAACCGAATGGAGCGCGGCACGGAAATACTCCGTACATTGTCCAGCGTCATCTGGGCAACTTTTTGTTGTTTTGGGCGACTTCCCGCAGTCTGTGGGGACCCCGTGGCCTCGTTGGGAGTGGAGCGGGTCTCTTACCGGCCGCGCTCGGCAGAGCCTGCAGCTTGGGAGACCGTGGACTCCGGGAGCTTGCGATCCGACAGACTCTGGGTGCCAGCAGCAGAGCCTGGAGCCCGTAGGTTGGGAATCTGTAGTAGCCTGGAGCTGGGAGCCAGGTGCTGGGCGCGGTGGTACGCGCGCACGGGCACGCGCTTATGAAGCCACCGGCACTCGTTGTCTCCGCGCAGGGGGACACGGCCGGGGCGAATCACGACGGAGCACGCGCGGACTCGGCATGGGGGGTGGGGGTGGTGGGGGGTGGTGGTGGTGGGGGGTGGGGGGTGGGGGGGAGTATCACTCCGCCAGTGATGCGGCTGTCAGCTGTGCGCGTCTGTCCGTGAGGTGGGGGGGCGGTAATGGCGGGAAAGTCGACGGCTCGGCTGTTGCCTTTAATAACAAACTCGAACGGAGGGGGGAGGGGGAAAGCAGCGAAGGACAATTTCATCTTGCGCAGGGATTACAATTGTGAGGGAAAACTCCCCCCGTTGATCACGTTTATTGTATTCTTAGCTTTAAATCAAAAATGTTCACGTTTATTGTGTTTGATGAATAAGAATGACGACTGAGACCGCGTTCACGAGATCTGAGTGCTGCTGCTCTGGTGACGACGGTGTCCGATGATAAATCATGAGGGATAAAATGTATTTAATGTCAACACCGTTGCGAAACACACCCAAGATACAACGAATCCCCTCGTGGGACTGGATTAACGAAACAAAAAAATCGTTAACAATGATTAGCCTCAGAAATATGAGGGCCCAAAAAAATCGAAAAGTTATCGGTTTTTTTTGAAGCTTCAAATTCTGATGTCAAGTTTGAATCTCATGCCCTTGCAAAAACCTCCAAACTTAAATCCGCGTGGGCTGAGACTCAAAACCAGGCGAGACATTTGCCCCTCAATTTGCTGAGGGATCCCAAGATTTTACATTTTGGACTTTTGAGTCCTTATGCCACGTATGAATTCAGCAATTGCATAAAACATTGCTTATAAACTCAGGCCCTCATTTCTCCAATGCCGAATCATGCACATGGCAAACGTATCACGCCAGCCCGTGCATCATAGGTACGGCGGGGACGATGGGCCAACGTTGGGAAAAATTTAGTTTTTTTTAACATTAAGTTTCGTTTCATTGTATTTTGTTTAATCAGGGGAGTCCTCAAGAGACCAGAGGATAGTCTCATTTGCAAGAGTGACCCGGGGCATTAATCTGCCAGTAGGTGGTGATGATTTTGCTGCGATGTATGTTGAATTTCTTTCACACCATACGTAGCCAACCGTGCTAATCGGAGGTGTTGGGGGGGGGGGAGATGACAACAAACTAAACACAAAAAGCAGTCCTAAAGAAACGAGTTTTCAATCTATATTTAAAAGCGGATCGCTCCTTATAGAGGAAAGAAGAGCGTTCCAGACGGCCGCAGAAGCACATCATGAAAGCGCGCGATGCCGTGAACGTCTTTGTTCGATCGGTGGCCAAATTGATCGATCTGCTCAATCTCAACGGAGTAATTTGCGGTGTAATCGAATTTGGAAAATGTGGACCCTGACTCTGGCACACGATGGCCTACTCTTGGGAATTACATCAGGGGATCTTGAACGTCCTCTGTGAGGCAGAGGGCAGGTTGGAATTGTTATGGTTATTACACCCTGCAGTGATAACCAGGTCGGCCGCAGGATTTCAACCCCGAACCTCTGCAACAAAGTAACGATCGCGTTGCCGCTGGTCCGTGTCACCTGCCTATGAAATTCATTATCATTGCAGTCCGTTCTACAACGGCGTGTGGTGTTCATAACGCGAACTTGAATATAACGCGATTAACTTATGGGGGAACACATTTTTGTACAACTCAGATGCCAATTCAGTGAACGGAATAACATCGCGCGAGTAGGAATGAGCGGTTGTACGGCGGCGTCGGCGTAGCATCACACGAGACATTGGGATGCTGCTGGATGCTTCTAGATGCTACGCACGCTCCTCAGTCTTTGTTCAGCCTGCGTACGCATTTCACGTGTTATTGCGGACTGTGCTTTACCCTACATTATTTATTATAACGTGATTTTTCCATAACGCAGTGTTCTTCAAGAACGCAACTACCTCGTTATAGGAGGACGGGCTGTATTTTTTGTTCACTGCACCATTCAAATCCAGTCCACATTCTCCCGTGTTTTTCGTCGGTTTAGTACAGCAGGAAATAATCCATATAATGTATTGGTAAATGTTTCCTTTTCTCTTTAACTAGCATGCCACAAACATCGACTTAAATATAGCCACTTAGCAGATTGTGCACATATTTGCTATATTTAAAATAACGACACTAATACTTGGACACAATTGTGGCTAATGTAACAAAGACAGGATTATTGGTCTATACACCGTGCTCTATGATCACAATAGAAGTAGGCTACTACAGTCTGCTCGTCAGCCTGGAGGACACGCTATAGCGAGCTTGATGAGATTATCTAAAAATACACACTTGTGATTTTTTCCGTCACTCTCTTGTTTAGTTTAAGAGGGATACAGCTCAAGTGATTGTCACATGCACCACGTGTCATTTTCGGTCTCGTCCCATGAATACGCGTAGGTGATCTTGGAGTGCAGACTGAAGCGAGGACATGATGATTTTTTGAGCTGCAATATGTGTTGTTTGTGTGTCCCGCTTGGGGGGGAGGATGACCTTTCAGCCTTGTAGAGAGTGTGAATGAGTAAGCCATCTTCTACTGCACAGAGGGGGAGGGGGGGTCACAGCAAGAGACTGCATTACGGACACGAGCTCAACGTCGCATTCGGGAAAAGTTAGTGGGAACATTGATAACGCTGATGTTACGATTAAAATCTGTCAACAACACAACATTACAGCACAAAGCCATTTTTTTTCCCCTTAACAGTAGGCGAGAGATAATTGCTTCTGGGCCCGCACGGGCAACAACGTCACACAGAGGTTTGACACTGGTCAATGACGCCCGTTTTGAGGACTTCCTTGCGCGTGTCGAGGATCACGTCGTAGCAGCACTGGAGCCGGCTCTGCTGCTCGAGCGTCTTGAGGCGCAGCGCGCGGATAAGGCGCAGCAGCATGAGGCGGCGGTACATGATGAGGTGGGCCCGCATGCGGGCTCTGCTCTCCTCCCTCAGCTGCCTGTGCTCCGCGCAGGCGTCGCGGGCCCGCCTCAGCGCCTCGGGGTCACGGCACGGTGCGGAACTCTCCCGGGCGGTGGCGCGGGCGCCGGAACGCGACCGCGAGGGGAACACGCGGGAGCGATCGCCGCCTTCTCCGCCGTCTCGCGACGCCGCGGTATGGGGGAAGCCGCCGGTACGTGGTGGTGGTGGTGGTGGCGGTGGTGGGGAGCGCCGGGGATCCTCAGATTTTCTGTCTGAAATTTGACCGAAATTGTCATGCGGACGTTCGACATACGCGCAACTCTCAGCTTTGGCGTTTGAAATGTCGTTTTTGCAATGGAACACATTTTTTAAAGAGTTTACATCGTTTAACTTCGTGAGGTTTTTATCATTATCCGCTGAATCATTATGTTCATGTTCTTTAATGTTCACAGAGTTGAGGTCTTGTGAACTGTGTTCAGATTGCCCGTCATTGTATGTAGAATATTTCCCTTCACTCGCCCCAACAAACTCAGAGCTTGGATCCTGTCCATGCAAATTTTTGCAATCAGTTTTGGAATCTGTATTTTCAAAACAGGTTTGAGAATCTTCCCCACGTGTTGTGTACAAGTCCTTAGAATCCAAACATATTGAGGCCTGTGTACTTGTTTCCTTGTCCATTTCATTTCTTCCCTCTTCATTCTCTGAATCCACGTTCACTTTCTTTGAATCCTTTAGGAAATCCCTGGTAACGGAGTTCTTCTCTTTGCTTCTTGGAATTTCCAACGAGCCACGAGACTCCACGGAATCAAGAATTAACGTGTTCCCACCGGGTTGAAGTTTACAGGAGGAAGCTTGTGAATGTCCTTTCGGGATGTGTTTCATTTTGTCGACGTCGTATTTGTTCGTTTCCTTTAATTTCGCATCAAAGGAGTGATTTAATTCACTGTTCAAAACCTCGGCAAAGGCTGTCTGGCATCCACGAAGTGATTTGAGTTGTGGGCCAATTCCTCGCAGGGTGGTGCCCCGCTTAATGTTATCATTTGCATCGTCATCATCATCACTATTATCAATATCTCCAAAGCCATTGTCCGGCACAAAGCAACGCGCATTGGTTAGGTCCAAAATCTTGCCGACATTCTGAGTGCTCTGACCACGTGACACATTCTCGCTTGAAATTTTAGAGTACTGAGCCATGTGTTTCTCTTTGTTGATGTTCGCCTTCACATTATGGTAGTTTGCGAGGCCCACATAGATGTTCTGGTTGTTTGAGTTGGCGTCGCACTGTGACGAGGGCACGTAGTTGTAGTTGCAATTGCTGTCCTGTTCCTCTCGGTCGTCATCCTGTGTAGACACGTGCCCTGGCGCCTTCAAGTCGTTGGCGTCACTGTCCTTATGACAAAAAAACACAAACGGGCAATGTTTATTTCTGCGTGGAGGATACTTCAACGTGATAATATTGTTTATTCGACAAATGGGATTGGCTGTTCAAATTAGCATTGAGCCAATGGTGCTCATATGCTGTATACAGCCTTGAGCCAGCGGTGGAAATTCCACATTTATATGGCGGGTTCAGTCTATCCATAGGACAACCACTGACTTCTACACAAAGTGGTGCCTATTTTATTCATGCCAGAGGGATGATGGGCCGATTCTCTGATCAGTTAAAGCTCGCCTTTGTAAATATATGCCATAATTTGTTGACAACTGGAAATGTGGCGCTCTAATGTAATTGAACGTAGGGCATCGTATCCACAAGCTACGGTGCAAAGGGTTCCTTCCGACGGTGGCTATGATGATGGTAACGATAATGCTGTTGAGGATCGTGATACTAATGATGACGATGATGGTTATTATGTGATCAGAATAGTGTTGATGGTGATGAGAATGGAGATGATTATGATAGTGGTGATGATAATAATGGAAACATCGTAGTGATGATGAGAATAGTGTTTGTGGATGAGAATGGAGATGGCGGTGATGATATTTGAGATGATGAATGGAGATGATAGTGGTGGCTTTGATGATAATGATGATACTGTGTTGACAATTGTGTGGCTCGAGATAACGACGATAGTGATGATGGGTGTAAAAAGCATGTTTGTGTCTTTTAAAACTAATTCATGAAGACACCTGAGACTGGAATATTCAATATCTTCCCTTGGACCATGCAATCCTAGCCTCACGGAGCAGTGTTGGATGTGATCTCTAAACCAGAGATTACAAAAACAGTCTCTGGCCAGTCCTTCAGCCAATAACGGACACAGCATTTCCTCTTCAGAAATATTACCTTAAATCTACTCACACTGCGTATACATGTGTATAACAACATTAACAGTGTGATGCATAAACACACACCGTGATACATAATATACAAACGGACATACAGGACACGACTAGTAACTACAGCATACACACACACACATTCACAATTGCAGCAAATACTAACACTATATTACATACATGCGTACTTCCTCGCATACACGTATACAAGAGCATACACGCACATTCATAATTTGCACACACAATGCACGTGTGTAAATCAATGCGCCGCACTCTGCACCACCATGCCATCTCACACACCACCCCGTGCATCCAGGCCACGCTGCTGGGGCAAGCGCTGTCAGCGAGCGCCTATTAAGCTCCGCGCGACACACCAGGGAGTGGTTTAGGCAGCACCACGCCCGGCCGCCTTTGTCTTCACGGAAGGCATTTAAGGCTGAGCGGACCTATGTTCGTTAGACAGTAATGGATGGGAAGAAAATCAGGGTTAGTTGGGAGTGTCGTGCAGTGTGTGGTCTGACACACACAAAAAGATAATAAAGATCCCGCCTATAGCCCATACGGGCTGAAGGCCGACATGTTATACAAAGGGTGGTGGGTGGCCAGCACAGCGCCCGGAGGCCTTTTGTCTCATCAATGCTGATATTTACACACGATATTAGCACTACATTAACGCTGAGTTTACCGATTTAGACATTCGTCACTGTTATCGGTCATGACCGGGAATCGAACTCGGTCCACCGGGGTTCGGAGCACAGCGTGCTAACGAATGTGCCACCGCTCCCCACTCACATACATTGGAAGACACAACAGCCGTCATTCGCCACGAAGTAGTGGTGACGTCACCACGGCGCTTGTGCCAGGCCAGGTGCACTTTAAGACCACGTGAAGGGTCGAAGGCTCGCTGGGAAGAGGTCACGGAACAGACACAGGTGGTCTTCATTGACTGACTGAGATGACTGGCAGACGCACCACCTGTGCTCCCCACTCTGCCAATTCTCTCGGATTTAGCCACCCGGCGCTCTGCTCGTTGTTGCGAGCGTCGCTCCTCTGCCCTTTCGTTGTTGTTGGAGGGCGACTGCCTCCAACTGCCCAGTAGTAGCGTCTTTCACGAGCCTCCTCCATGGGAGACACACACACGCGCGCAAAGACACACACACGCGCGCAAAGACACACACACACATACGCGCGCGTAGATGCTTTCGCAGCCCTGCGCATCATCTCGTTACCATCGTGCAGCAGCAGCAGAGGGGCTGATCCCGAGCTCTTGCGCCGCGGGGTGTGATGACGAGGCGCGCTGCGACCAGGGAGATGTGATGATGATGTTGCTCACAGAGACGAGGGGAGATGTGATGATGGTGATGATGTTGCTCACAGAGACGAGGGGAGATTGTGATGATTGTGATGATGTTGCTCACAGAGACGAGGGGAGATGTGATGATGGTGATGATGTTGCTCACAGAGACGAGGGGAGATGTGATGATGGTGATGATGTTGCTCACAGAGACGAGGGGAGATTGTGATGATGGTGATGATGTTGCTCACAGAGACGAGGGGAGATGTGATGATGGTGATGATGTTGCTCACAGAGACGAGGGGAGATGTGATGATGGTGATGATGTTGCTCACAGAGACGAGGGGAGATGTGATGATGGTGATGATGTTGCTCACAGAGACGAGGGGAGATTGTGATGATTGTGATGATGTTGCTCACAGAGACGAGGGGAGATGTGATGATGGTGATGATGTTGCTCACAGAGACGAGGGGAGATGTGATGATGGTGATGATGTTGCTCACAGAGACGAGGGGAGATTGTGATGATGGTGATGATGTTGCTCACAGAGACGAGGGGAGATGTGATGATGGTGATGATGTTGCTCACAGAGACGAGGGGAGATGTGATGATGGTGATGATGTTGCTCACAGAGACGAGGGGAGATGTGATGATGGTGATGATGTTGCTCACAGAGACGAGGGGAGATGTGATGATGGTGATGTTGCTCACAGAGACGAGGGAGATGTGGTGATGGTGATGATGATTTTGCTCACAGAGACGAGGGGGGATGTGATGATGATGGTGATGTTGCTCACAGAGACGAGAGAGATGTGGTGATGGTGATGATGATTTTGCTCACAGAGACGAGGGGGGATGTGATGATGATGATGGTGATGTTGCTCACAGAGACGAGGGAGATGTGGTGATGGTGATGATGATTTTGCTCACAGAGACGAGGGAGATGTGACGATGATGATTTTGCCCACGAAGACCAGGGAGATGTGATGTTGCGTGATGCTGTCGTGACGTCGACTGCTTAGGGCGGCTGCGCGGAGCAAAATAGAATGGCGGGGCGGAGGGGGCGGAGGGAAGGGTGCGGGGCTGGTGGACACTGATTGGGGGGCCGTCCATAAATGACGTCACGCGATTTTGGACGATTTTTGACCCCCGCCCCTCGTCACACGGCGTCACAAAAAGTCAGACCCCCCCTTCAAATATGACGTCACAAAGCTCTGCCCCCCCCCCCAAAACCATATTTCCATTTTGAAAATAAAACATGCTTCAAATCGCTTTAAACTATTGTCATTGTGGTGCGCATTTAATGTGGCGCTGTACTCTGATGTTGTAGGAGAAAACATTTATTAAAAAGACTATTTAATTAAGTAGAACGTGTTGTCTATATTTATTTAAAGTTGCGCATTTTGATGTGACGTCACATTTCTCAACCCCCCCTCCCCCTCGTCACACATCGTCACAAATGTCTGACCCCCCCCCCCCACCCTAGGTGCGTGACGTCATTTATGGACGGCCCCTTGGAGCTGTGCGCACCCATGGAGTTACAATCGCAAGGCTGAGTATTACACACGACGGCCTTTATTAATGGTTGCGTTGTCAGCAGTGCCAGTGTAATCCCTTACGGAACGTTAGCCTATGTATTATTCTGTTATCAGTCAGTGTTGCTCATCATCAATCGGAATTTCCCTTCCCCCATTTCGACACAAATCACCGCTGTGCACATGACAGCTCACGTCATTCAGCCGACTCATTCACAATAACCACCGTTCACCACTAAGTGGCGATGATGTCACCAAGGCGAGTGTGCCATGATAGGTTCACTTTGAGGCCAGGTGAAGTGTCAAAAGTCCCGCTGAACAGAGCCAGGTGCCAGTCACCTACTCACCAACTATCAGGAGCCTTCTCATCCCTCTTCTGTCGCTATTGCTATGGTTAATGTTCCCGTGAATATCACTCATTAATTCCTCCAACCATGTTGAGGACTAGCTCTGTCATACACTGTGTTCAACCACCACACTGCAGGTCGCAATAATACGCTCACACTCAACTATACAGTATACACACAGACAAATATCCCCCGTATAGCCTTAACAGACTGTTGGGGCAAGTGCTGTTCGCGAGCAGCACCTATGAAGGCCTGCACGTGACACTAGGGGGTGGGTGGCCGTTACCACGCTCGACCGCCTTGGTCTCCCTCGTGGCGACGATTTTACACACCGCACCAGGTAGTCATTTGAGGCTGAGTCGACCTAGGGGAAGACCACGACTGGTTCAGATAATCGTCACTCGTGTTGGCCGTGAGCGCGCTAACCACTACACCCACCGCTCACCACACACCGAATAACCCACTCACGTACACATCCACTCAGTCACTCACCAGCTCACTCACACACACACACCTACTCAACAAGCTCATTCACAAACTCACTCATTCATTCACTGACCACACCACAAATCACAGCGCTTCTCTTTCTGATTCTTTCCTCGCACTGGTCCGCTTTGGAATTCTCTCCCATCGTCTGTTTCCCTCGGCTCTTATAACAAAAACCTTGCTCATTTCATGTAACGTGTTAACTCTTATCCGGCTCTGGCGTTGCTGGGCATTTGGCGTTTTGGGCATTTGGACAGCAACGGACAGTGCCGGATTATCCTCGTAGCAAAAGTAGCTACATATGTAGCTACGGGCCCCGCGCTAAATGCTTTCAAGCTATCAATTCCGTTTCAGTGATTCTGCACTTGCTCTATTACTATAGTTCTAGACTGCCTTCAACTTTTATGAACGAATGGTTGTTTAAGGTCAGCGATTTGTCGTATTATCTGGCTGTATAGCAAATGAAAAAATACAATTACTTTACTATGCAAGTTAAAAATTGTGTTTTGATATTTACGTGTTTTTTTTTATTTAGGCCCCCTTTATGACAAATACTACAGGCCCCGCACTAGCTTAATCCGGCACTGGCAACGGTGTAAAGCACAAACACATGCTGTACATAAATACACGCACAAATAAAAACAGCGGCCGTTCACCACGAAAGTGCAAAAGGCTCTCTGCTGGCAGGAGGTCATGGGACAACCCCAGATGTCATGGGTTGACTGGCTAAGCCACTGCTGAAACAAAGATCCTCCGTGTAGCTTTTAACAGACTGCTTGGGTAAGTATGTGTATATATGTATGTTGAACTTCCTTCGCACCGTACGTAGCCAACCGTGCTAATCGAAGTTGCGGGGGAAGGACAACAAACTAAACACAAAAAGCAGTTCTAAAGAAATTACTTTTTAATTTAGATTTAAAAGTGCATATAGTTCCAGTGGCTGTCAAATAAAAGTGCTGTTAGCGAGCACTTATGAAGGGTGGCTATCCAACACCATGCCCGACTGTCTTTGACTCCCCATTGCTGATGTTTTTCATACCGCACAAGGTACTAATTTTAAGGCTGAGTCGACCTAGGGGAGACCACATGACCAGTTCATTTATTTACCACCGATGCTGGCCGTGAGCGGGAATCAAACTCTGGTGGCCGGGTTCGCAGAGCAGTGCACTAACCTCTGCACTACCGCTCGCCCACTCCACACATACAAAGATCCCCCATGCAGCCTTTAACAGCGCCTGTTGGGGCAAATCCACACCCTCATGCACCCGCTATGTTCCATACCCGCATCACCAGGCGCTGCAGGCTGCGGCAGCAGGCAGCGGTGGTGCCGCAGTGTCACGCGGTTTGGTGGTGAAACTGCTGCTGGGCTGCAAGGTTGCTAGGAGATGACCAAACACACACACACACTTCATACATTGGGCCCTTGATCTCGCGGGGGACGTTTTGACTTTACAAACTGAGCTATTCCAGAACCCTAAAACACAGACAAAACGTATAGCGCCCACTGCACTTGAGTGTGGGTTCACTTTTACAACAGGCGGGCACATGTGGCGAATCTAACATTGGACTTGTATTCTTCAAAATAAAGCAACATTTCATCGTGCTCCGCAATATGGTCTCCGTCCACACAGAATTCTCACGGAAGATGCACTGTATGCCAGATTGTGTTCATCCAGTGGCGATGTAATCCGATCAAATCCACGGGATACTGATGAACAATGCGCACTTATGTCAACGCGGCAACCCCAGTGGTGTGACGCAGGGACGGCAGGGCGGGGTGTTTAGGGGAAACACCAGCTCACAGTGGTAACTGAACACAGCATGGTAGCGGGTTGTCAATCACAGTCGTTCATATTCTTAGCTCTTTCGGTAAAGTCATGTTAAAGGGAAACAATAAAATAATACAATATATAAAACAATAAAAATTCTCACGACGTTTAGACCATAACACAAACGGTCATCATCAGGTGCTTTTCACACCTGTGATGACGACCGTTTGTGTTATGGTCGAAACGTCGTGAGAATTTTTATTGTTTTATATATATTTTATTATTTTATTGTTTCCCTTTAACGTGACTTTACCGAAAGAGCTAAGAATATGAATTACTGCAGTCACGAAAGCTTTAAATCAAAAATCACAGTCGTGTTTAGCATCGGTCCCAAGCAACAACCCAGTCCTGTGTAACGATGATGATATTGTTAGGCTGCGGCGGGATTGACTTCGCCATGTCAGGATGTCGCTGTGTGCCCGGCCCCGACTGTGTGATGCTTGATAGTGCGATGTTTGGTGTTATTTCAAACGAAGGGGTGGTTGGCCAACACCACGCCCAGCGATGTCTGTGGTGGTGGTGGCACCACCCACAGCACACAATGGGCCCAACTCGTGAGAATGACGTCAAGGGTTCTATGTGTGGTGCGATGTCTGTGATCGCACCACAAACATCGTACCACAGAACAGCACAAACTTAAAATCACCTGACGTAATTCGCAAGAGTAGACCATTGTGTGCTGGCGTCAGTATCCACATTTACCAAACTACAAAATCCCGATTCAGATTACTAAATTGAGATCACACATACACACAGCAGCAATCATCGCCCCCTCGGCTCATCCTGTTCTCACCTGGTTAAACACAAATAAAATTGAAAACTAGGTTTACATAACACAAATGAAGGTCAATAGATCATCCCAGCCGATGGCGCCGACACCCACTGCTCCTCGCCACGGCTACCTTTCGCCAGGCATCGCAGTCGTTTTACACATGACAACCTGACGTCAAAGTTCGACTCCAAGTTCGGTACTCTCTGTCTCGTATGTATTCTCCTCCGTCGCTGACCTCTCCGTGTCCACCTCAATCCCCCCTCTCGGCCACTCGCCCTTCTTCTTGCTCTTCGACCGTGTGATGCTTTTCGTGCGATGTGTGGCTCATTTCAAACGAGGGGGTGGCTTGCTCTTCCTGGTCACGCTGCATTTGCGCTGCGTTCGTGCGTGACTCATCTCAGTTGCTCAGCCAATGCCGTAATGACACTACGAACATCATCCGCATGCATCTCTAAACCAAACGCCATGCATGAGCTTCATCTAAACGATTCTTTAAATTTTGATTTAAAGCTTTCGTGACTGCAGTAATTCATATTCTTAGCTCTTTCGGTAAAGTCACGTTAAAGGGAACACTAAAACAATAAATATATTATATATTATATATTTTATTATTTTATTGTTTCCCTTCAACGGGACTTTACCGAAAGAGCTAAGAATATAAACGATTCTTTGTTAAAGGCGAGCTCTGGCCCATATAATAACACGGACTTTTCCTTGGGGCTAAGATATTTGATTGTAAATGACATCACTCACCCGAACATATTGTCCATGTCTAAAATTCAGACAGTGCGGTAGCGTGATTACAACCTGGACGGGAACTGGTTACCATGTAATTCACAATAACCTCGAATATACACTCCAGTTGACTGTTAATCCACGACTGTGTGAAGGCCTCCTACACACGCTCTGTTGCTTGTGAGGAGGTTTCTCAACCATACTTCACCACGCTGGTCAGTGCGGGTGGGTCATGAGGGCGGTGTTGAAGGGGGTTCAGAACCGGTCCGGTTATGATGTCACTGATGTCAGCCGTGACCGTCAATGAACATCAGGTCGCCGAGTTCATGTCTGGGGGGGGGGGGGTGCACTAACCACTGCGCCACCGCTCCACACGGCTGTTCGCTTTATTGGCGAGCCGCGCTTCGCTGTATGATCTAAGCCATGTCGGGAGCACGCTATGACTTTTTTTTAAACTCCCTTTAATAAGTGAGCCAGGGCACGATGCGCTGTGCCATGTTGTTGTTGTTGCTGTGTATCCATGGAGTCGTTTCGCCTGCTGCTCCTGCTGCCGCTGTTAATTAACGTTCAGTCACTCATGTGCCGGGGTAGAAAACCTCTACTCTCTGAACAACAGAACATTTCAATGGCTCTCAACAGAAGCTGGAGTGCCCCAGATATCCTTTATCACTATTGTGAGAGAACAACCCATTGCTCTGCCACTCTTGTACAAAGTAAACACGCGGGGAGAGCTCACACACACACAGAGTGTTCATCTGCTGTATGGAGTCCTGGTTATAAATATATTCTGTAGTGAGAACACGTTTTGTTTTTCGGTGCAAAGTGACACAATAACCGCGATGATAACCTTCAGCCAGGCTTGTCTCATTTTTAGAATGCATAGTAGATTTCAATACGCGGTTAATGGAAACACTGTATGCAGAGCGACTTGCCATGTATTTAACACAGATGTTAAGGAAGGTTTTTCGATCAGTCACGTGCAGTAAGAGACGTGGCTCGGTTCTGTGGTGAAGACGCAGAGAGAGAGAGAGAGTTTTGGAATTCGTGGCCACACAGGAAGATGAGTTAATTGTCGATTTAAAGCTTTCGTGACTGCAGCGATTCATATTATTGGTTCTTTCGGTAAAGTCACGTAGAAGGGAAATAATGAAATAATAAAAATAGAACAATAAAATTCTCACGACGTGTAGATTGCAACACAAGCAATCATCATCAGGTGTGAAAACCACAGCAAGAAAATACTTATTATTATTGTATTATTTCCCTTCTACGTGACTTTACCGAAAGAACCAAGAATATTAGTTAATTCGTTAATTCCGACTGACAAAGCTCCTACAGCAGATGCGTGAACACGTCTTTAAACTACTATCCAGAATCCAGTGGCTTCATATCATCTCCCTCGCCTGGTGATGCAGAAAGATCGTGGGTTCGGTCCCGACCATGACGCCTATATATTTGGAGTTTACATGGTCTCAGCGTGGTCGCGTGGATTTTCCTCCAAGTCTTTCGGTTTTTTCCTCCACATTTTGAAACATGCGATTAGAGCACTTGGCTGATATCATTTCCACATAACAAGCCACTTAGTTGAGCTATCATTTGTGGCAAGGTCGCTTCTGAAAAAAACAGCCAATAGCTTCGTGGGCTTGACCTGGTAAAATTAAATAGTTTTTAGTTTCATTTGAGAGTGACGGACAAACGAAACCCTGGTTTAAACAAAATGTGTACAAAACTATTCGCCTGATACGCAGCTGTGAAAGCAATGACCCCGTTATGTCTCTTTAGATCGGCGGCATGAGCACAACGAGAACCGAACACGTGGCTCCGCGCGAGCTAGCTGCTCGCAATCCCAAGGTGGCGAGTTCAAATCCTAGGGGGGGTTGACTCAGCCCATCATCGCTGTAGGGTAGCTAAAATCAGTACAACCTTGTCGGGAAGAAAACGGTGGTTCGACCCGACCACAGGAATGTGAAGTAAACAGATGAGCCACAATGCCCCAATATTCATTTGAGCAGGATCTCACTTTGCAAATTGATTTGAAACAGCTGCACAGTAACCACACTGCGACACTTCTTTAGCAGGTGAGTGGAATTGCAGGGATAATAGCTTCAATGTTCTGCTCGACCTCTCATCTATATAAATAAGAGAGTGCTCGTTTGTCGCTGGCCGCTTGACATCTTGATCTTTATATTCATATTTTTGGTTCTTTTGGTAAAGTCACGTAGAAGGGAAAAAATAAAATAATAAAAATATAAAACAATAAAATTATCACGACATTTCGACTGCAACACAAGCAATCATCGTCAGGTGTAAAAAACAAAAGCAAGAAAATTTTGAAAAAAGTGGCGTTTTTTTAAAAAGTTAGCACCACGGAGAGCGATTTGTCAGTTATTCAGATGGACGAGTCCATCTATGTTCGGAAAAGAGGAGGGGGAGACGAAAATAATGGATGCCGTCTGAAAGCCACCGTAAGCGTGAACAATCAATTAAGACCCGAAATGGTTGATCAAATCCTTCCAATGATTGCAAAGCCAGAATCCATCTTCTCGGTTAAAATTGTCTCTGTGTTTGTATTTGTGGATAGCCTCATGAACGAATCTCTCATGGTAGCCAGATGGCTTGCAAAGAACCTCTGTCTTGGAGAAGTCAATGTCATGTGAGCCTACTGAATTATAACAATGATCTGCCACTGCCGAGGTGTTCGTCCTACCGTGTTTAAGGTCTGCTTTGTGCTCACGAATGCGGTCCGAGACATGGCGTTTGGTTTCTCCAATGTAACTACTACCACAGAGGCAACTTACTTTGTAGACGCCAGGGTACTGTATGTCCGGAATCACATCTTTTACAGACGGAACCAGATCACGGATTTTATGTAATGTGTTCAATCGGACCTGGATCTTGTGTTTATGCAAGATTTTGGAGAACTTTTTTGTGATCCCCGCAATGTAGGGTAAAGTGATGGTTTTGAATGGCTCCTCAAGAGGGTCCTTCTTCATGGTTGGAGTGATATCTTGATTTTTTGTGCATGTGCTCAGCTAATGTGTCCGAACACGTGTACGCGTCTTCTTTAGTTACGTTATGAAGCCATCCCACGACATCCAGGGTGGTATCAGTGGAGGAGTCCGCTTGTCCCACCATACACAGCTTAACATCTCGTCGCGTTACTGCTCTTTGTCACTGATCACCAGGATGCTTTGCTCGCTGACTTGCGCATGGAAGCAAGACGCATGGCAACTTAATTGTGAGTATTGTATCTTGGGATATATTTATATTAATATTGTCACTGAGGCTGTCTTCCTCTTAACCCAATGTGCGGTGTTACTAACATAATAAATATAGTTATAGCCTACATATTATTGTACTCTATACCGGATTATTAACAAGAAACATTCCGTGGCTATTTCAGTAAAAGTGAGTCGGGAGAAAGGAGGGGGGCTAACAGTCGTATCTTGCATAGCCCCCAAATAAGTCGTTGCGCTGTGGTACAATACAAGCGACGGACCAAAGTGGCTGACATTATCCAATCAAATGAAGGCGGCGTGTCAAATAATTAATTACTCGATCCGATCGATTGCCAATAATTCGATACGGCAACACCATATTTGGGCAAAAGACACGCCCCTTCCACAAAACTCCACGACCACTTCCATATACGGGGGGGGGGGGCAAATCTCTGACCGTTGATTTCGTCGGGTGCACGATTTTATCGCTCTATTACAGGGCCCCCCACCACCCAACCCAGCCCAGCCCACGTCTCGCGCCCCCGGGAGTCGTTTTCGGCCCGCCAGACCCACGCGCGTTCCTGGCGCCCGCGGTGGCATCCGTCCCCCCGCGCGCGTTACCGCCGCCTACCGCCAGGGAGCGCTCTGCCGCCGGCGGCACCAACCCTGGCCAGGGGGCAGGCGCGGCGCCAGTGAGGGCCGATTTGTTTTTGAGCGACCGGGTGAGACATCGCGAGAGCCGAGGATGGTGACTGGTCTGGGTTAATGCAATGTCAAAAGTGATTGTTACGGAACAAAGCGGCACCGTGAAGCAAATTGATATCAGGGGAAAAAAATCAACCGTGGTTCGAAACAATTTGATATTTAACTTTGATTTCATATCGATTTATGTTGGTGTAATTCTTTCGATTTCCCATGCAATGCAGTGTTTTTTTCTGATTTCTATTTACTTCATTGCTGTTCCTTGCCTCGTTTGCTTTACTTTTGTCAGTGGTGACCGAGATCGCTCTTGCAAATGAGCCTCATCATCCTGGTCTCTGCAGCGCTCACATGCGTTTCACAAAACCAACTTGAACTACATTCACACTTCCACAACCTCGACTCTGTCCGCTGGTGGTCATCCTACGGCCGTGTACAGAAGTGGTCTAAGAACGGCGATGTCATCTTGCTTTGCAATCATGATGGGATTCCTGTCGTGTGTTGCTGTTTGAACACACCAATTGCTGGTATATTATGAATGCATGTTGAAGGTTCGCACCGTACTAGCCATCCCTGCTAACCGGAGTTGCGGGGAAAGGACAACATCCTAAACACAAAACGCAGTTAAAAAAAATGAGTGTTCAATATATATGATTTAAAAGTGCGTAGCTCCAGTGGCTTCCTAATATCATAAGGAAGCGCGTTCCAGACGGCCACAGAAGCGCATCCGAAACCGCGCGATAACCATCCAGAAAGCCTCTCGGCATTGTTTGAGTCTCCTCGGTTGACGCGTGCTTCTGGTACAGCCCCGGCTCCACACTTGACGAGCACAGACCCCAGCACCGTCCCGCGATATTGTCGGCCACACGGCCTTCTGAGAAGGCGTGATGAGTGCAGCATTGGTTCAACACGAAGAAAAACTCTGCTACTGGTTTCAGTATTCGGTGCCTGAATGTAGAAGGCGAGTAGCAGCAGCAGTACGGTTATATAGGCTGTTCTATTCTGTTACATTGTTTTCAAGTAAACCATCCATCTATATTCCTGTGGTGTTCTATACTCGAGTATTTGATTGTCTTCGTAATGAACGACAGAAGACTCGGCGCACGTATGGCACTGTTGGTAGGCGGCATCATGTAGGGCAGGGGTGCGGAACGTCCGGCCCGCGGGCCGTCCAAGGTCCGCGAAATAATTTGGTGTGGCCCTGCCAAGGCAATCGCAGGCGGGACTCGAAATTCAATCAATCTAGGAGCAAACCTGCACAAGCAGTTGCGAGTAGCAACATCATCAATACCAGCTAACATCATCACACGCCTCGCCAAAGGGAAGCAGTTCCAGCCATCGCATTAGGGGTGAGTTAATTAAATGTTTGACCAAATATAACAGCCAAATTTTTTAGTTGATAATTTTGTATGGCTCGCGAATGATGTTATAAATATCCAAATGGCCCTTGGCAGAAAAAAAGGTTCCTCCACCCCTAATGTAGGGGATGTAAGGTGTCGTGCGAATGAGGTGACCCAGTCTCCACAACACGCCATCTGTGCAAGCGCTTACTCCAGGCATTCAATAAACTGACACACATTTTTAATTAACGCCAATTTAGTCACTGGTCACACATGTGCGTTTGAACCACGAGAAATATTTTGTAAAAAGTTTCCACTGTAATTAGCAATTCTGTTCAAGCTGGCAACAGCGTGAAAGCAGTGCCAGAAAAGATGAAAGGGCAGCTCAGCGGATCACGGCTGTTTCCGAGGACATGAAGCGATTCCCTGCATATAAAACTAGACTAATAAAGTATCTTTTCTATTTTATTTGACCAGATAAGGCTCACTGAGCTATATGTAGCTGTTTTGCAGAAGCGACCTGACCACAAATGATAGTTCAACGAAGTGTCTTATCGTGTGGAAAATTTATAGCAGCCAAATATTTTTTAGGAGGACCCAGAGAAAAATTCACGTGGCCACGGGGAGAGAGACATTCGACCTCCAAATATACAGGCGACAGGTTCAGGATCAAACCCACGACCTCCTGCATACCAGGTGAGGGAGTTAACATCTCGCCACCATGGCACCCCAGAATGTGGTTGCTTAGCTCCCGGATGAAACCATTTATAGAGAGTACAGAATTACTATTTATGCCACTGTGTGCCAAATTAAACTGGGAATTTAATAGTGCGAGTGTGCATATCACATTACAACCTATTCGTGTTAACTCGTCCAATTCTTAATGAGAGTAAGTGAATATTACATTAGTATTGCTTGCTTTCTTGAGTGAAAGTCCGGGAAAAAGGGAACGTCTTTATTGAAAATTGTATTCAAAAGATAATTAGCATAATCCCCTGGAACACGATTTCGAGATTTCTTTGCCTGACGGGGCCAGAACCTGAATGGGATTTTCAGAGGCAGCTGTATAGTGAGTCTATGGGGGCCATTCAGCGGCAGCTGTGGCGAGTGGGGGCTGCAGAAGAGTCCTCGCGCTGTCGGGAGGGCATGAACAAATACCCTTTCACATCACAAGAGCGCATCGACACTCGAGTGCGTCGCTTGATACAGCACACGATGCAACAACGAGGACTGCAGTCTTGACAAGTCATTCCACTTGGACATCTCCTTTGAGGCGATAACTTAATGATTTTAATGAATAATTACGTGAGGCATTTCACATGGCCCTTGACACGTCAGTGCACTGCTGGATGAATGCCTCCCCACGCTGTCGGTCGCAGGGGTAGTTTAGCTGACACTCGCCACTGATGGTAGAAAACAACTTCATCCGCGGCGTTCAGATCTCAAGTTTCAAGGGGAGAACTCTAGAGACTATTTGCAACAGTGAGTGAATGAGTGAGTGGCTGAGCGAATGAACGAGTGGATGAGTGAATTAATGGGTGAGTGAAATGGTGGGTGATTGAGTGGGTGAAACGATGTGCGAGCTCAAGTTTAGAAAGTGTATGTTTTAAGCAAGTGGTGAGAACTCAAGAGCAGAGGATTTCATTTTCACGAGTGGCATGGGGCATGAGCCTGCCAGTAGGGGCGACGATTGCTTATGTGCAATCCCAATCGAGTAATTCGTGAATAATTTATTACGAATGGGTGTCTAAGCAACACAAATCACACTGCTGCTTGTACTGGTGCTTACATGTATTTTGATGGCCACCTAAGGACAAGAAGACCACAGTGCAGTTCTTCAGGAACTTATGATGTTTTTTTGTGTGTGCACGTGTCTGTGTGTCGTTTGAATCTCATGGTGTTCCATCATCATCATCATTGTCATCATCATCATCAGAAACGCGCCACTGGGATGGCCCGCCGCGCGTCACGGCGTTGTAGGAGGAGGCCCCCCGCAAGGTGAGGCCGGCGAGTAAGTGACCGAGCCCCTTCGTTCGGCCGACTGCACGACGCCGGGATGGTGCCGCTGGGGGAGAGCTGCCCCTGCGTTGTCAGGTGACCCAGAAGCAGGCCAAGGCGTGCGGGGGAGGCCACGCAGCCGGATGCGGCTCGAGCGGATGATGCCACGGACGTCTCCGACTGGTCTGGCCCACGCAATGTTTCCATGATGGTTGCGTGTTCTCATTATTATAGATTTCATAAAACGCACTTCCTTGAAATGCTCTTCGGGTGCGAGCAAAGTGATCTAGAATAGTAGCGATAACCATATAGTAGAACCGTTTATCGAACCAGGTAGCTCAGCGGTACAGCGAGTTAAACATAAGCGGAAAGTTGAGAGTTCAAATTCTGGTTGGGGGTTGACTCAGCCCATCACCGCTCTGGGGTCGATAAAACGAGTATCACTTCGGAGGGGAAGTCAACAGTGGTTCTATGATAGACTCGCCTCTACCATAGGAATGATTCATTTCCTCCATGGCTCCGTAGAGTAAACAGGAAATGAGCACCAATTACTCAATGCTCATTGCACAGAAAACCATTTTTCTTATTAATCAGTTCGCAGCTGGATGAACGCCTCCACACGAGGTGTCGTCAGCAACCGCGGTTGTTGCACCAATACCTCACCACGCAGCTCAGCGCGGTTTGGTAAAGAGTGTGGATGGAGTGGGGGGGGGGGCGCGCAAGACCACTGATGTTAGCCGTGGCTGGGAATCGAACTCGGGGGGAGTGGGGGGAGGCTTCACAGGCGTAGTGAGCTCCAGGAGCACGGCTGCGTCTCTCCATGCGCTCTGTCTCAGCTGTGGGGAGCGGTGGCGCAGCACTGCGAGACGAAACACGGCGATCTCAGTTCCAGTCCCACTCACGATCGATAACGGTGGCGAATATTTGAACCCGTCCTGGGCCTCCCCGAGGTCGACTCAGCCTTAAATGAATGTCTGGTGCCGTGCGTACACAACAGCACCGGAGAAACGAAGGCGGCCGGGCGTGGTGTTGGTCACCCACCCCCTCGCGTGCCGTGCCGGTCCTCATCGGCACTTATTAACATCACTTTCCCCAAACAGTCTGCTAAAGGCTACATGGGGGAAGTTTGTCCGTGTCCTATTTGTGAACTCACGTACAGCTCTGATGCCGCGAGAAAGAGGAGGGGACTCGCCCCGTGACATTCTATCGCAACACGGGGGAGGGTGTCCCCGGCACGGAACGACCAACCCCCTCGGCCCCCTGGCCCAGGGGGAGGGGAGGGCGCCTGTGGGCATAAGTGGGGACCCCCATGCAGAGCCGCGTGGAGACGGAGCGCAGAGCGGACCAGGTGCGGGACGAGAGAGCGAGGGAGCGAGGGAGGTATGAGGCAGCGCTGCCCCTCACAAGCAATGGGGAAACACCTCCAGCGATGACGAGATGTTATCTACCTCGCCTGGTATGCAGGACGTCGTGGGTTCGGTCCCGACCCTGACGCCTGCTGTGTATTTGCTCCTCTGGTTTGTCCCTCCACGCTTAGAAACTTGCGTCTCGAGCGGGGTTTGGGCAATCCGCGACTCCGCAGCCGCATGCGGCTCTTCAAGGACTGCTTCGTGACTCGTTATTTATTTAGGACCTCCGTCTCGTATCGGCCGCGTGCTTTGCGGATTTTGGATATCTTTGAGTTTGTTTTTACCGAATTCGAAAAACAATGACGCGTCTTGTCGTTTTGATTGCCGACTCCTGGTTTGGAGCATCCGGCTACTATGAATGTCCACGTGGTGATGGAAGCCACTTTGGTTGAGCTATCGTTTGTGGCCAGGTCGCTTCAGAAAGACAACTACGTAGCTCAGTGGGGCCTCACCTGGTAACATTTTTTTTTAAAGTTCAGTTTACACAGCTCGCATCACGCTGTTGTTCTCCATGTCATTGCGTGAGAGTCTGAGTGAGCCTGTGGGTCTTTATTTGAATCTACATGTCTCTGTAACAGTCTGCAGGTCTCTGTGTGAGTCTATGTGTTTGTATGGGAATATATAGTGTACTGTATGTATAGTTGTGAAGTTTGTGAGTCGTCTCTGTATTGCGAGTCAGTGGATATCTGTCAGTCACCGGGGATCACAGTGGTGTGAAGGGACCGGTGCTTGGTGGAGTGTTACATTTTACGATGGTGTTCGGTACCGTATCGATCTATGCGAAGTGATCGTATACATCCCGACGTCACTCCACTGCTGGATGAAAGCCGCCCTCTCGCTCTCAGCGCAGTGTCCACCTCTGTGAGTCCGAGCGCCGCGTGTCCACCCCGCCGTGTTGATGGTGCGTGTCCACCCCGCCGTGTTGATGGCGCGTGTCCACCCCGCCGTGTTGATGGCGCGTGTCCACCCGGCCGTGTTGATGGTGCGTGTCCACCCCGCCGTGTTGATGGTGCGTGTCCACCCGGCCGTGTTGATGGTGCGTGTCCACCCGGCCGTGTTGATGGTGCGTGTCCACCCCGTCGTGTTGATGGTGCGTGTCCACCCGGCCTCCGGGCGACTACCCTCCCCCCGTCACCCACACTCCGTGCAGTGTGGGGTTCCACACGGCCACTCAATACACGCATTTACCGAAACTCCACACATCACCGTGGGCTTAAAAATTAACAAAATAAATAATAGGCGACGTTTCGGAAAATGGCCCTCGTGTATGTGCTATAAAGGGCGATCGGTCGGAACATCATCCATGATATACATCCTCCTTAAGGCCACAGTGTTATTATTGGAGAACGTGTACAGCGGCTTGTTATCCGTGCACCACTGCCAACGCAGCGGCGGTAGCGGCGGCGGCAGCGGCCTCACCGTCGCATCATTCACTCCGCGAGGTTTCGCCTCGACTCGAGAGCCTCGCCGTGCCGTCGGGGGGTCTCATCAGAGCGCGCCGCGCGCGCGCGCGAGTTCCTCCGCCACTCGGCGCTGTTTGATAATCTCCATGGGAACAATGCTCACTCGCGCACCTTGCTCATCGGAACAAGCTAGCCCATTCATTGCGAGCCTGTCGCTGGCCGCACGCGAACAAGGGAGCGCTGTTGTTCCGTCGCCGTGCAAAGGCCCTCTAATTTGATGCAAAGTTAATGCCGCTTGTCATCTGCACCCGCTCGAGACGCGCTGCTCTGTGATTCATGCACAGACTCGTGTCACCCCATCGCCCTAATGTTCTGAAGGTAATCGCGCACGTTTATTCACGTCTTAGATTCACACGGTTGGCTACGTACGCTGTGAAAGAAGTTCAACACACGTGCATACGTACATTTCCACCCCTGGCATCTCTCTGATCGAATGTGCCACGAAGAAGGGCCATTGCCCAAAACGTCGTCTGTAACATTTTTTCCCCCTGTTAAGTGTTATTATTGACGAATGTGTTGAGATTTTTTTTCACATTTTATGGTAGACGATATAAAAAAAAATCCAAGCAATTCCGTGGCTGTGCGCCCATTTAGTCAAACAAAGGAATTCCTGCAGATGGCAAATTCTCTTACGCCACCGCATTGCGATAGCAACACCACGCGAACTCTCTCACCTTTAGCCCTCTCGTCGTGGCCAGGAGCAACAGCAGCAAACCTCCACATTGGCATCGAGCTCCTGAACCACACCGCTGGTACTGCTGCTGCTGCTGCCTGCCATCACGTGTGGGAATATAAACCGTGCTTGCAGTGGCGAAATAACGACGACGACATTTGTCAACTCAGGGGTACGGCAGTCGGTCAGGCGGGGCCCCAATATTTGATTTGTCTCTCACCGTCGCAAACTAGGCTATTACATATCGCGGGCTCTTCTTGCTTAATCACATCATCGTTACGCTCACGGCCTCGTACATTTAACGCTGTAGGGGCGCTCCGTCTTCGCAAAATGCAGCCACTGCCGCTCCGTAGTAGTGCCTCTTTGCAATATTGCGTCACTGCTCGAATCAAATGAAATTAAAGCGTGGATAGTAAATATTTTTTTTCCATAAAAACAAATTGAAACCGCGTTTTAAATAAGTGTTGTTCTTTTATACTGTTGTTGAAAGTATACCCCCTCATGTTTGGGTGTCAAGGGGGCCCCAACTCGTAGCTTTGGCCACCAGTGGGGGGCCAAGGCGCCCCCTGCCCCCCCGTTCGTTAGGCTACTGCTGTGCGGTGTGCGGTGGGACGCAGGCCGTGGTGTCTACACAAGTCAGCATGGATCTCCACAATTTGCCCACTCATGTTCTTGTCGTCGATGCGAGAGTAAATCGCAGTCGAGTGTGCTACTGCCAATCAAACGTCGAGTTGCTCCATTCACGTGACCTTTCTTGTTTTGGTCACGTGGCGCCTGGTCTGAGCCTCAACGAGTGCGACTCAGCCTTAAATGCGCTATCTGGTGCGGTGTGCACCTTGGAGGGAATGGTTGGTTGATCGCTATGGGACAGGGGGTTGGTGGATTGGCGGATGATTTGTAGTTGCAGGCTGTGTAATCATTACCATCATCATAAATCGTGATCATCTTCATTCAGCATCATCATTAGTATGATGAAAATTTTGAAAAACCACAGCAAGAAAATTTGAAAAATTTCATAATTTCTTGCTGTGGTTTTCACACCTGATGATGATTGCTTGTGTTGCAATCGAAACGTCGTGATAATTTAATTGTTTCATTTGTATTATTTTATTATTTCCCTTCTACGTAACTTTACCGAAAGAACCAAGAATATGAATCCCTGCAGTCACGAAAGCTTTAAATCGAAATGATGACAATTGTTTAACCAGGAAGCCCTGACAGCGCCTCGACTTATTCAGGAGGGTCCAGTTATGTTTTCGCAGCAGTGGGCGATGATTCCGAATCTGTATTCATCCAAGAGGAATCCGATGAGCTATGAAGCTCTTTTTTATACAGATGTCCAGTAGTTTTTACAGATGTCCAGGTAATCGCTATGTAGATTTCAACTAAGCAATGTGGTGATCATCACCGTGATCATCTTAACCTATCGTCGTCAACGTCATTGTCGTTCTCTCTCCGTCACCACTCTTTGTAAGAAGCGCAAAGCCACCAGCAGCTCACAGCGCCGCGTTTTGCACAATTGCCTAAGCTCTGCAGTCCTCTACATATTAGGGTGTTTTCAGCCAATGAATGATGAGTGTTTATACATACAAATCTGCAGTGCGAAGGAGCAAGATGCTCCAGGATGTGAGACATCGTGTCACACGTGCCACGCGCCACAGACGGCACCACGCCAGTCGGCAGCAGGGGCATTAGACCGATAATGTAGACTCTCAAGGCTCCCGTTACATGCCTCGGGATCGTTCGTGTTGGTACTCCATTATGTGCACCCTAAGCAAAAACATAAAAATAAAAATTGCCAATGTTATGTTGAGGATGAGTGGACACAACAAAGGGCGATTCTCTCCCATACCCGTGTGACAGTTGCTTTGTTATTATTATTAATTTGTGTTATATTCTTGGTTCTTTCAGTAAAGTCACGTAGAAGGGAAACAATAAAATAATAAAGATATAAAACAATGAAATTCTCACGACGTTTCGACTGCAACACAAGCAATCACCATCAGGTGTGAAAACCACAACAAGAAAAATTGAAAAAAGTGGCGGTTATTTTTAACGTTAGCACCACGAATTTTATTGTTTTATATTTTTATTATTTTATTGTTTCCCTTCTACGTGGCTTTACCGAAAGAACCAAGAATACGAATCCCTGCGGTCGCGAAAGCTTTAAAGCTTTAAATAAAAATTATTAATTTGTGGTTTGACCTGCGTGGTCCAGGACATCATCACTCCACTTGCTTTGAGGAGCCACAGCATCTGGTGTATTTATTGGCTCGGCCTCAATATATGAATTGCCATCAACAGGGGGGTTCGCGGCTCTTCTTTTGTACGGCTGATGTAGATGAAGAGCAACAACTACAATATCACATTCACGTAGCCAGGAGCCAGTAGCGGAGTGTATCGCTGCGATGTCTCCATTCGTATTTGTGGATCGGGCATTGCGTCGTTACACGTTGTACGGTCTGTGCTGAATGACCACAGTCGCACACTACTGGAGAGTTTTTAATTTTCCATGTGTACATTAGCTATCTGCATCTGCCATTGTTTTTTTGCAGCGGATGCGGTTTAGGGTGGAGCTTGATCTTCGCGGAAGATCAAACCCAGGCATATTCTGCTTTGGGTCCTTCACAACGTGCTGTTTGTGAGGTTCACTGTGAATGTTGATAAAAGGAAGTGAAAGCGCTCACCCTGCATGTAACGTTACGTGGGCTTTAAGCAGCAGCAGTAGCAGCAGCAGCAGCAGCCATAAGGTGGAGGAATGTCAATCCTTTGCCAGCTGCACGTGAGCTGCTTCAGTGGCGGTGGTTGCTCTCACGCCCCGATTTGCGTAACTGC